AAAATCAAAACGACAATACATGATAATGTCGCCAGATTTATTGTATAAAGATATTATCGCTATCGCTCAGAATAAGTCGATTCTACAATCTTCAGAAGAATTGAACATCAACACTTCTACTTACGTAACAATTCTAGCTATCGTATCCTTTATTTAGTCTACATATAATCTTCCTAGAAACCATATTCACCAGCAGTACTTCATAATAAAATCTGGTATCCATTTATCGTAGAATTTAGGTGCAGCATATTCTGAATGGTGGCGCCAAAGATGCTCTTTGTAGAACACATCCCTTTTCGAATGCGCGAACACCTGTACAGTTGTTGAAGTATTGACTGGACAGGAGATTATATGAAAAAATAGTGAAGCACACCTCATCTTGCATAGGATCCCACCATTTATCACCGAGAGTAAAATACACTGGTTCACCATACCACGTTCCTAGAAATTAGGTTGGCAAACGTAAGAAAATTAAGAAAAAAAAAAGAAATACCAAAGAAAAAAAAGAAATACCACTAAAACGCTAGGCGTTTGTTCACCTTAAAAAGTAAATTGGCCAATTTAAAGAGTAATTTCGTCGGTCCTTTAAAAAATCAAGGAAAATGTGACAATGCATGCATGATACCACAAAAATACAGATATAGTAAACAGCAAAAGAGATGCACTAGCAGCAAAAAGGAATACAAAAAATTTAAATTACTGTATAAAGCAGTCTTTCACGGCATAAAAATTATCCGACGATATAATAAATTCGTAAAGAGCGGTAGTTTTCCTGGTTTTCTAGATCAAACCCTCTCATTTCCTAATAAAAAATCCAACAAAAAAACGTACGGAAGGATGATCGTCAGTACCTCAAGGTTTTTTCCAAAGATATATTGTTAGAAAATCGAGAGTTGAGTTAGAGTTAACTCAGAAAAAATGCTAAGCATGATCAATGAAAATAGAATGAGAAGAGGGTTTGCCAAAACCATCTATCGAGGAGATGCTCATTGACTTTTATAAACAAGCGATCATAAGTAATGATGCGTGCAGCTAAACAGTGGTCATGAATTTAAAATAGATGCAGTAGTCAAGCACGATGTAACCTTGTTCGGATAGGTGAAGGGTTAACCTATGACCATGTCACAATGCTGCATTTCATTAGTGGGAAGGCGTTTGCACAGGCTTTATCAATAGCGAATGTTGTGCAATACAAGACTTTCAGCAACGTTTGAAGCAGCCAGGACGAAAATAAAAAAAGAATCCAGCAAAAAAGGTTTGTGATCAGTGCATTCATTAGAATGTCATGTTCACATTAGATTATGGATAACCTTTTCTGAATAAAGAGACTATCTAAGCAAAGTTAAAAGTCATAAACTATTTCATCACTGCTATACCCATATTTAGAAAAATTAGTTATTAGTAAATAATTAGAAAAATTAAGGTAAAGTTATAAAATTAGTAATTTTCAAAAATTAGAATCGATAATTCACAAAACAGAAGTTAGAAACGC